TAGAACTTTTTAAAAAAATAATATAAAAAATACAATAATATGACAGATTTGATTGGTACTCCTAAAATAACTTTTAAGATCCAAATATTGTATTTGAAGTTCACTAATTCAAATTTTAGAATGAATTTCTATGTTTCTGAGTGTGAGAACTCTTTCGAAAATAAAATGTCATGAGATTGTCACTGAAATCGTTTCTTTCCCCATAAGGTTTACAACTGGCTTTTGTTATTACTTGGCTATAAACGATTTTAAAATTAAAAAAAAATATATTTATAATCATTTTTACTATTAGTAGTTCAAAACTAAAATCTTACGCAACGCGTGGGTATAAATCTAGTACATAAAAAATGAGAGAGAAAAAGGCACCAAGGTTTTTTGTTATGTGGACAAACAAAAACGAAATTGTTTAACAAACAAAGGGAATAACCAAAACTAAGTTTTTGAATGACCCACAAATAAACACAAAATCATTAATAAAAATAAAATAAATACCGACCTTGGTCAGGTTTTCCCTACCAAAGTTTTCCCTCTCAAACCTATAAATATCACTTTTTTCTTCTCCACTTACACACGACCACTAAATAAGCTCTAAACACTATTTTATAAAGTCTTTAAATCTCTTAAAGATCTTTCATTTCCACAACAATATCTATACATATAGATAAAATGGCAATGAAACGCATCCCAACGCTTCCTCAAAGTTTCAATGACAACAAAACCAAGCTCGAAAATGAATCAGCAACCAAACCACATACCTCAACAGTTTGTATGGCCCGACCACGAGAAACCTTCCACAAATGTTCAACCTCTCCAAGTCCCTCTCATTGACCTCGCCGGTTTCCTCTCCGGCGACTCGTTCTTGGTCTCGGAGGCTACTAGACTCGTCTCGGAGGCTGCACAACAACATGGCTTCTTTCTAGTTACTAACCATGGAGTCGATGAAACGCTCTTGTCTCGTGCCTATAAGTTTACGGGCTCTTTCTTTAAGGCTCAGAGGACTTGGGGTGAGAGCGCTGGTTACGGTAGTAGCTTCGTTGGGAGATACTCCTCTAGCCTCCCGTGGAAGGCAACGTTGTCGTTTGAGTTCACTCCCGAGGAGAAGTGTCATTCCCAAACGTTTAAAGACTTTGTTACTAGGAAAATGGGAGATGTATACGAAGATTTTGGGTAATGAAATTAGCAAATGTTGAAACTTTCTTTTCGTATATCCAAAAAAACACACCAACACTACAAGAAAACATATCAATTT